CCCCCGCCTGGGCGGGGCGCGGGGGTGAGGGGCGGAGGAGGGAGCCAACAGAAAAGATAACAAAAACAATCGGCCGGGCGCCGCCATCTTGGGTCCGTTCTCCACGCCACACAAGTGAATGGGTAGATATGAAATTACCACAGGGGAGCAGCAGCAGCAGCAGGGTACGGAGGGCTGTTCCGAGCTGCCGGCGGGACTCGGGGGACCCAAGAGACGCCTCCCGCCGCCGCCGCCGCCCAGAGAAAACCCCCGGGCTCGGCCTTTTCTCCTCGCCAACCCCTAAACTGCACTCCTGGAGGGACAAAGTTGGTCTCAGCCGCGCTGCCTCCGCCGCCCGGGAGACGAGAGAGTCGGGTTCGGCAGCGGCTTCCTCGGGGCCGGGAGTGAGCCGGGGTCAGAGTTAGGGGCGAGGGTGACGAGGGGATTCCTCCCCCCTCCACCCTCTGGCCGGGGCTCGCCTGGTGCGCTGTGTGGGAGGCAGGAGGAGAAGGCGGGAGGAGTCCAGCAGGCTTTTCCTTTCCACCCCTGCTATTTCTTATTCCTTTCTCCTAAAAGGAAAAAAAAAAAAAAAAAGAAAAAAGAGGAAAAAAAAAAAAAGGCCAGAGCTGGATCGGGGGGGGGGGGGGGGGGAGGACGGGACCGTCTCGGCTCTCCGTTTGAACAGCAGCGGGGCGGGCGGAGGTGCGGCGAGGAAGAGATGTGTCCGTGAGGAGTTGGAGAGGAGCGTGCATCAAGCAGAAGAGTCACAAGCCTGCTGCTGCACGGGAGGAAGAAGCCGGCGGGGAAGGCAGCCGCTGCATCCCCCCCCTCTGCCCGCAGTCTCGCTCGCCTCCTCGCTTCCAAAGAAGCTGACTTCTCCTAGAAGCACGGCAGTCAAGGAAGGAAGGATTTGCCACAAAGAATATATCACCCTCCTCCCCAGCGGCTGGATACTGCATTTTTTTTTTTTAATTTTTTTTCACCCCCCCCCCCTCCAGTCGCTCTTCTGTGTTTAAATACCAAATATAGCCTCTTGCGGGGGGGGGGAAGGGGATGGAAATCTCTTAGAAGAATTTGAAATCTTGCTCGGATTCTGGTGTCGCACGGACCGGGAGAAGGACCGGGAAGAGGAGGGGAGGTGTGCGGCTCTCGCTGACTGGCGGCAGGACTAGAGATTTGCCACTTTTCGGGAAGCCCGAAGGTTTGTTTGTTACCAAACTGTTGTTTCTCCCCTTTTCCTCTTCTGGGTTACGCTAAATCCCTCAGCATTATTAAAGAAAACCGAAGCGTTGCCCACGTGTAGCTGGTGGCTTGCTTTTTTTTAAGGTAGTTTTCATCGAGAAACTGACAAAGCTTCCTCCCTTCACCCGGAGGCTTTTGAGGTTTGAAACTGAAATGGAGCTACTTTTCTCCCAAACACTACATGTTGTATGAGGGGAGCCAGGACGAAAACATCGTGTTTGCTGATTTCGATACGACTCCCCGACACTCAGCACCTACGAGGGATGCTTCACGGAGCTTCATGTCGAAAAGATTTGGAGTGTGCTCAGAGACTTCGTCGTGTCCAGCAGCTTAATTGTTGACTTTTTTTTTTTAAGTGGATTCGTAGCATACTTTTATGAATTAAATTTTGCCACCATTTGTACAGAAGCCAAATGACACGTGTGTTTTGAAACACGGTTCTAAATATATCCATCCCTCAACCCGGATTCTCGCTAGAAAGAGCCGGAGGGAGATCGTCAGTGTGTAAACAGATCTGATTTTACTGTTTTATGAACACTATCTGCTGCAGAAATGTTGCTATAGATTGCTTTATAACGGTTCAGCAAGAAGGGAGATTTTCCAGCTTGCAGGACCCAGGAAACTGGATACTTAAAGTCACTTAAATGTTTTAACAGCATTGGAAAATGGGAGCTGCTACTAAGTTGGCGTTCGCTGTTTTTCTTATCTCTTGTTCTTCAGGTAAGTGAATGTTCTTGGCTTTGTCGCTTTAAACGTAAGGCTTTGGGGTCAGCCCTTGAAAGCTGGAGGTAACCTTGTTGATTGATATGAATGAGGAGAAATCTTTTCTTTTTTCAGATGACAAATGTTTGGGGGTGGCAGTGACTGTAAAGGCAGAAGCTGTTTTCATGGTTATTCTTAAAAGCCTCTAACATGAGCACTTCAAACTGCGTGCAGCGCTTGAATTTCAGACCAATTGTGTGGAACAAATGTGGAAACATAACCACCTAGTGTCACATACAGTAATCTGGCAATGCAATTGTTAGTGTTTCATGGTTTTTTTTAAATAAGAATAACCCAGCTGAAATACTCTTAACTTCAATTAGAACTCTTATTCCGGACCATTCACTGGTGAATGGCAACCTTCCTTAATGCTTCATTAGTCTAGAATAGGTACAGCTCAGAAAGCATTAGCTCGTCCTTTAATGATAGCGAGGGGTGTGTGCATGTATAGATGTGTACACAGAATTAGGCTGAAAACGCAGGCTTTCAGTTTCTAAACAATTTTGTATTTTGCTACTCGATACGTCACTGCCTTGTAGTGCAAAAAAAAAAAAGAAAAAAAAAGCTACTACTTTTCTCTTTAAAACAGCAGAGCTTGAGTTTCCAACGCTAGCTCTGAGTCCTGAGGAGCCAGCGGGGTGTGAGGACTTCCCCACGCTTCTTTAGGAGGAAAATTGTTATGGTAGCAACCAGTGGTTGGGGGAACTGTTGGTACACTTCTCCTTGAAGCTCCGTCAGTTTCACAAAAAAACTGTTGTGAATTGTGTAATGGATCTAATAGTAGCTTACACGGCAAGCCTCGCACTTTCTGCTTACACTTTGAATGTGTTTGTAGTCGTCTGTGTAGGTTTAGATGTGCTTTTTAGCATTCTTGCACGGTGTGCAAGGGTGTACTTGTTCATCAGTCTGAAAGCTAGCAGACAAGTGCTCAGCTTTTCGGTGTAACCGGTGTAAGGGAGTAATGAGATCCGTATAACAATGCCTTTTAAAATTTCAGTGTTATAATGTACAGGATTTTGCTGAACAGGACGTTTTCTTGTGGTTAGTAAATGGATAGTCTAGTCTTATGTCTGTAGCGGTATTGATCAATTCCGTGTGTGCTAAATGTGCTGTGAAATGGCAAGCACTGCCAGAAATAAACCAAAAAAAATCCTTTCTGTTTTAACCAGATAAATAACAGAGCAGGTTAAGGACAGACAGAGGTTTGTTTGGGTTTGTTTGTTGTTTTTTTTTATTAGGCTATAACATTTATTCCTCTCTTGAAACAAAACACCATTTCTTCTGATAGTTTTGTCTTGCAGTAGAAGACTTGTCTTTCACCTTTTCCTAATACCTTATTTTTAAGTTACTCGAGGAACATTCCTCTTAACTTGGGAATATTTTATGTAGGGAGTCTTCCCCCCGTCTCCCCCCTCCCAGTTCCTGAAAGACTTTGTGCAATCTGCTCTTGGTGTCTGTCTTTCCCTTCCATGTCCTTCTATTAAGATCCTTTTGCCTAGAGCACAGAATAGTGATCTTGTTGACATTACCTATCCTACTTATTAAAAAGAACGGTTAAGCAACAAAAGCTGTCCTTTCTTTAGCATTTCTTGCTCAGGTTGTTCTTGGTAAGGTGAAATGGATGTTTGTCTTGCCTGTGAAGATGGAATTAATCTTTGCTAAATGAGCAGGAAACTGGTTGCAATTCGGACTGCTTCTCATGTTAATGACATTGTTTTTGGTGGTTATTCCAGCATTACACATTAAGTGTTCTGGTATTTAACAATTATTAAACTATTTTCTACTCGCCTAAAATTTTAGAGTATCTGCAGCCCTGGTGTAGGTCTAGTAATAAATAAATTCAACAGTAAGCTTATGTTTTCATGATGAAAATTTTACGATTATGTAAGCTTTTAGCATGAAGTACAGGCATTTTGATAAGTAGTGTTTCTTAACTGTGACTTGTTTTGATTTAAAATCATACCTGATCAATTGATTCTAACATGATTCTCAGAAGTAGTAGTTTCTTTTCCAGTCTATAGTCTGAAAGAAGTCTGCTCAGGCTATATACTTAAGAATATTGGCAGTGGTTGAAGAAATCCTAGAGTTCAGTTGTGAAGATGTCTGGTTTGTCTTTCTCCGGTATGCAGTCTCCAGCTACTCTTGAGTGTATGTGTCCAGGAGTGGGGGGGTGTTGGTTTTCTGTATTAATTTATTTTTATATGCAACTGCGTTCTGCAGTTGTTTACATAACCAATTAATACTAGTGTTCTTTAAACAGGTGAAAATGTTGTGGGTTTTTTCTACATGGTGGGTGTGGAAATGGTCTTTAGGTTGAAGGCATTTTATTTTACTATCTGTCAACTGCTGTATGGAATCCTGTAAATGTACTTCAAATGGATAGGAATTTACAGTTAATCTAATAATCTTTGTTAAGGGAGTGAAAATACTTCCCCTTTCTGACTAAGATGTTTGAAAAAGAGCATCTGTGTTACATTATTAGGCTTTAAAATATTTGTAGATGCTTGGATAAAAGTGGGTGTAGGTTTGCACCCATTTGTACTAATTCAAGAGGATGAGATGAATGTGTATTAACTAAACATGAAAATAAAGTGCCTGGGTCAAGGTTTTCCATGTGCCCTCTAATATACTTTTTATATAAAAACCTGTGTGTATTTTTGATTTAATAAAGAACAGAAGGTCCTGAAGTAATAATAAAATACTTACAAACGATATGCTTCCTGTGTCTCTCCTGTAGGTAAGGCAAGATTGTAGGTGAGCTTAAAAAAAGAAAAATAGTAAATTATATAGGTTGTTCATCAGGAACATTTCTATTTAGATGCTATCTATGTTCTCCCCTTCCCCCAAGGAAGTATGTTTCTGTGTCCTCTAGTTTTCGTGATTGCTGAGTTATACTTTACGAAATTTCAGGAACAGAGAATGTGTACTTCCATAATTTCCTGTGATGTTTCAGGATATATACTCTACACAGCTGAAAATTTGGGAGATGTTGGAAGTAGTGGATTGTCTTTAACCAAAATCTTCTGTTGTGGGTTTTAACATCTCATGGTTCCTTTTGTTACTCTTAGACTCCATGTCTCCCAAACCATCACTTCTTCTCTTCTGACCTACCTGCTCTGCCTTTGGTACCTGGGCAGTCTGTTACCAAAGTAGTTCTGCAGCTTTAAGTCTCTTACAGGGGACAAAACTCACACTTGTTAAAACTCACCCAAGCTCAATTCATGCTAAAAATCACCCAAGCAAAAGGAAGCACATCAGAAAGTATTGGTGTTCTCTCTCTTCCCCCCCCCCCTTAATGCTAGGTCATTCTCAAGCCACTCAGAAGGTCTTGAGTAATTTTGCTAAAGGAAATGGCATGTCAAAGATACGTTTGTAGTTGAAGTAGCATTTTCATTGCATGGGGAACATTCTATTCTTTGAGTTTTTAATTTATTCTTCTGTCTCACACCAATTACTATCAGGGGAAATGATTTTTTTTAAATTTATTCCCCCCACCCCCAAAAAAAATCTAGATAGAACTGTAAAGCCCAAGGTACTGCTACAGCTTCAGAAGCTGAATGGTTAGGTGTTCTGAAGGAATTGAGGGGTGGGAAGTGAGACTTTTTTCTTTTGATTTTGCTAGTGTAATGTTTTTTGACTGTCCTTTCACTATTCATTTGATAGCACTTGAAAATCCTGCCAAAGGTTTAGAAGTATTGTTTGTGGAAATTGTCTCTGCTGGTATGTTCTCCGCAAGCTGTCCATGATTGTGGTTGAACTCTAATTGCTTTATTGCACAGGCAGAGCAATAAAATACTTCAGACTTAGTACTGCATTTAAAGTAAAATGCTGCTCAAGGTTCTTTTTTTTTTTTTATGCGAGCGTACACTTTTATGTATTTTGTGTGGTGTTATTGGGCAATACCCCAGCACTCTTGATGTTGCTGTTGAGAGCAGGACTTGTAAACCTACTTAATACTGTTTTCAAGCATAGATACATTTACATAGATGTAAATGTTATGTAGTTTACAAAGTTTCATGGCTCCAGGTTGATGTTGTAACTTTGATTGCAGATCAAAATTCTGTTACTAATTCTATGTAATCTGTTAATACTTAACAAAAGTTACAAACCCTAAATCTTCTGGGTTATGAAAAAACCTGTACTTGTGCTAATGCAGTATTGGAACATATAAGTGTAGTTCTAGTAGAACTCTGCTTGACAAATGTTTCTGGAGAGATGCTGCTGTCATAGGTTTATTTGCATGTCTACCCTTCAGACACATGTCTTTTCTCAGAGAAAAAGCTTAAATAAGTTTGTCTTCAAATGCTGGATGCTATGTAAGTTGGTGGGGGGGAGGTGTTCTGTGTGTGGGGAAAGCTGTTTTCTGCTGTATGGGGGTGCAAGAAGGTAATTACAGCTGTCATGAATAATAGTTTTCAGCTGGTTTTAATGGAGTGTATTTGAATGCCACTTCTTTTTTCTTCACACCCCCCCCCCCCCCCCCCCCCCCCCCCCCCCTCTCCGCTCCCCC